TGATTCCAATCTGGAAACATGTTCTTGTTTCCATTTCCCATCTACTCCCAGATTTTCTCAGCCTTATTCATATGGCAATATCATGTATGCGCTGCAGTTCGGAAACAGCCCTCAAATTGTGGACATCTGAGTCTTTAAGACTGAGTCTCTGTCTCTGCCGAAGATTTACTGCAATTACAGCCTTCAGTAACTACACACAGATGGAGTTTCCATAGTGTGTGATCCTCATGCAGACAGATAACATTCCTTTTTAAACCAATGGATGAAATATAAATTATAGCTCATAATGGTTTATGATCTCCACATCAAACACTTGTACCAGTGATTGGCAGAAGCGCAACAAATCCTTCCCTCAGCTTAGCACAGCCATAGCGCGCTTGCCAGTACCGCTGGTTGTTTCCTATTTACTTTGCTCCTTACTTATTTAGAAGTCAAAATTGGACTCAGTAGGGTAGAGCCCTGCCAAAGCAGATGCCGCTCATGTGCTCCCATCCTATAAACACAGGAGCAGTTTGTCTGCTCCATGTTCAGCAGTGCTACCCTGCAAATGGGGTTCTGCCTGCGGCCTGGCAGGAGCAGCTGGCCGGAGGGCTCATTTGCAACATCCTCCAGCACTTCTTGGAGATGTTTCCTTCGCGGAGGGATCGAGACACCTGTTTCCTATTGCTCGGAAATGCAGTGAATTCTGGCAGTAATTTACTTTGGTTATGTCTTGTATTTATAGCTTTAAGTTAATTAGCATTGTTACAAGTAAAGACCATTTTGCTTGGTCTTTATTGGAACATCCTCACTTACATAATGTTGTTAGTGCTCTGGGACTGTTAGGCCGGGACTTCGGTGGAGATGGCTCTTGAGTTTGCCATATCATTTTCTTTAAAAACAAAGTGAAACTCCCGGCATTATTAGAATATATGAAAAGACAGGTGAAAGCATACAAAAACACAAGAGTTCTCTGTGCCTAAAAAGACAGTGCAAATTAGGGCATTAAAAAAAAAAAAAGCTTCAATTTCAAAACTTAATTGTAAAGAATTTTCCCCTCATTTGTGGTATAAAGGAGGTATTCTTTTTCTTTGGGATGCAATGGATCAGCAATAGGAAGCCAATTAGGATGCACTTGCAACTGAAATAAAACTTTGTGAGTTGTATAGTGTTCTATTGCAAATCACATAAAGCTTGTATGGGGGAATTGTAAGCAAAGTTTAAAAATAAGTTTCAGAGGCTACCAAAATACTTTTAATATGCATTAACCCTTGCTTCTTTTAATGGTGATTTCCCGTTGGTTTCCCGTTGGATAACACAGTAAAGATTTCAATAAAAGAGTTTCTAACATAAATCTTGAAAGCATTTAGAGACCATTAAGATGAATATTTTTAGTGATGTCTCTGGGCTGTCTATGGATGAGGTTGTTGAATATCTTTAAAGTTTATTCCTGTGGAAACTGGAGCACGAATAAGACCTGTGATCAAACCTGAACATCATTCTTGGGTGAAAGATTTTCCTTTTTGTGTGTGCGCTTTATTTAAATTCCTGTTAACGAGGAAACACATCTCTCAGCAATTCTTGACATTTTTGCTCCTCTCTTCCTCTTTTAACTAGCAAGATTTTTGCCTTGCTGCTGCCATAAACTACAGTGGGCTCCAGGCTTCTTCTCCCCTTCTCTTCTCCTCTCAGTGACCATTTGACTTCTCAAAAACAATTTACCCAACTCAGCTTTCCTTGTAATATTGTTGGAAGCAAAATCAGTAATTTCCATGAACGTATGCATCTGTGAAAATAATTAATTGTATATAAAAGTAAAACTGCAGACTGTCCACATGTCTTATCTAGCTCACTAATTTTGCTTCTGCTGTTAATTGTTTTTCCAGAAGTAAAATTAATAGCTAATGTCACAGGACTTCATCGTGCTCATTTGAAAGTTATTTTTAAAAGTGGTAAGTATTTTGATAGTGATATATTTAATATACAGTATGTTACTAATGGAATAACATGAAGAACATTTGGGATTTGAAGGCGTTGGTTTGTGGACTATGTGTGCATGGTTTCTTAGCAGAGCACCCAAGCCCCCTGTACTTACGGTCTTGTATTTCTTTGGCACTGCCCTTTACCTTTTTGTGAAGTTACTAGGCTTGGTGGTGGACAGAAATTTCAAGTGCTGCTGCTTCCAGTCTAAGGAGGACTTTTGCAGCCAGTCACCCACAGCCATATCCATTCTTTTGCTGCTTAACAAGATCTTCAACTTTTCCAACACAGTGGGTATTTTTCTGTGTTCTGCTATGATGGATCTCTCTGCACTAGGTTACCAGCATCCTGTCTTCTCAGTGGCAGTACAGAGCTCTCAGCAGCGCTATACGGCTTCTCTTGCACCCCACATCAGTACTGTCAGTGCATTAACAGTGTCCTTATACTTGCACCTCAACATCCCACTAAAATAACTTACCCTATTGATATATTTTTGCTCAAAGCTACCATAGCCATTTTGAATGACTAGCTGTCCCGAGCAATAGTGATGACAATAGGTAAATAAATTATATTTTATGTCACATTTCTGGCTTTCCCCTAAAACTTAACATCTTTGTTCTTCTGATACCAGCTGGTGACTTCTCCCTTTTTCTTAAAGCAATGCTGCCCTTCCTTCTGAATCAATATTTAAATTATCCAGAGGATAAAGAAAAAAGTGCCTTGGGAAAGGAGAGCAACTCATTTTTATCAGTCTGTTACTCCCTCTTAAGTATTATTTGAGTTCTGGCTTTATTTATTTAAATACGATGGTGTCAGGAGAAAGCCTAGGGGCGAGGGCTTGGG